CGAGTGAGTCACCTATAGTAGACAGATTTCAACAGAGCTCCCAGATTAAGAAAGGAAGCAAGATTGGCTATCCATTTCTGAAATAACAAACTTCTAAAAAACCTATGAAGAGTAGAGAAATACAGTATTGTAAGTAGAGCTCAGATTGGAAGTAACTCAAAATGAGGAGAAAACAGCACAAACACCCTTTAATAATGGGAATGTGGATTGGACAAAGTATGAATGTAGGAAAACTACAAGTTGTAAAAATGACGATTGACATTCTAGGCACTAGTGAACTGAGATGGACAGTCATACTACCTGTGATGCTGGGAATGAAAAACTGAGAAAGAATGTGAAAAAAGACAGTTTCAAGATCTGTCCAAAAGTATAATATTGCTTACAAATCCATGCACCAATAACTGATGCCAGTGAGGAGCTTGAGTGTTTTCTATCATCTTTTACAATCCAAAACTGACTAAACATGCAGCAGTCAGATGCTTTTATAATTATGGGTGTCTGGAATGCGAAAATTGAAAGCAATGGTAATCAGAAAATACAATCTTGAAATGAGGCTTGACTTAAGATGATAGAATTTTGTACGTTCAATCATTTATTCATTGCAAATACGTTTTGTTTTTTTGGTTTTTTTTAAACTTACTATTAATTTAAATGAAAATTGACAGACTTTGGCTTTTCCATTCATTTATTGTTGCACTTTTCACCCCTCCCAATCTTCCCTTTTAGTACACTACCCTCTTGGAAAAGCAAAAGAAAAATTCTTTCATTGTTTTACAATTCCTCCCCTGAGGTCTACTCCACTATACAGCCTTCCATCTGGACTCCTGTCATGACAAAAATACCTAATAATTTTCCCTCTTAAACAGTTTTCTCCCTCATCTGTTTCATTGCAGTATACATTATTGAACCCATCCTCTCAGTCTCCTCCCAACCCCGAGGTCAGTCCTGTTTTACAACAGTGGCACCATGCAGTATTTGTCCTTTTGTGACCGAGATACTTCACTCAGCATAATGTCCTCCAGGGTCACCCATTTTGAATAATATTGCATGAGTTGCTTGTTTTTCAATGCAGCATAGTATTCCATTGTGTGAATATACCACAGCTTCACTATCCATTCGTTTGTTGATGGGCACTTATATTGTTTCCAACTCCTTGCTATTGTGAACAAAGCCACAATAAACATGGGTGTGTATATATCTGCTTGGATGTCAGTTATGGTCTCTTTGGGGTATATTCCCAGTAGTGAAATTGCTGGGTCGAATGGTATCTCTATTTGCACCTTTTTGAGAAAGCGCCATATCGCCTTCCACAGTGGTTGCACCATTTTACACTCCCACCAACAGTGAACAAGGGTTCCAGTTTCTACACAACCTCACCAGAATTTGTTGCTTGCTGTTCTGTTAAATTTTGCAATTCTCACTGGGGTGAGATGATATCTTGCAAATACGTTTTTTAAAAACCACAAAAGGCAACATTACACATGGACCTCACTGATGGACTGCACAGGAATCAGGTTGATTAGACCTGTGGAAAAGACCTCCACAGATGTACATCAATCAGTCAGTGAGGCAGTGTGCCAATAAAACTTTATTTGTGCATACTCAGTTATTAATTTTCACCTGTCATGAAATAATCTTCTATTGATTGTTTCGAACCCTTTGGAAAACGTTAAATGATGGAAACAGCCCAAGTGTCCCTGAACAGACGAATAGGTCCAATGGAAATACCGTGTTCCCATGGGGTAGCAGCACAGTTCCTACCACCCAGCCACCAGAACGCCCTCCAAAGTGGTTAGAATGACACATTTTAAAGTTGTAATTGATCATCTTATCTGTAAGAAGCTGCGCTGCAATCCCAAAGGCACATGGATCGAATCCACCAGTTGCTCTGAGAGAGCGGGATGGGCAGTCTCTCCTGCTGTGTGATTTACTGCGTCTGAGAACCCACTGGAAGGTCAGTAGTGGGTCACTTCCGACTTGACAGCAGAACACAGCAGCAAGTACAATACTATCACTGTTCTCCCTTAGAACATTTCTGGTTTTGTTTTGAGGAATCTTAAGAGAGGTTTTGGGGATTTTTAAAACACATTATATGAGTGAAAGTTTGCAGAACAAATTGGTTTTCCAGCCAACAATTCAGACATGTTTTATGACATCAACTGCAGTCTTTACATTGTTTGAGCCCTCTTCCACTTCCCCCCTGTGATTATTTTTTTCCATTTATTCCTTTTATATCCTTTCCCACCTTTAGAGCTTTATGTCTGAGCAAATGTTACCCTTTTTTTGATCTTCTATGATTGACTGTTCTAAGGCATGAGGGCCCCCTGTCCACCTTGTAGACCTGCCTGTTATTTGACTCAGTTATTGATTGAGCCTTAGGAGCAAGTTTGGTTCCTGTCCTGAAGCGCCATGGTCTTTGTGGGTTCTACCAGGATCTTTCAGACCAGCAACCCTAGTCATTCCACCCCACTCTGTCTAGGACCCTCGACTGTGACCCCTGACCCCTCTTAGAACAGTCAGCAGCAGTAGCCAGGCACCACCTAGTTCTCATCTCAGGGTCACAGAGGTGGACGTTTACGTGACCCATGAGTCCTCTGGACTAGCTGTTTGTATATGTGCCTCTGATTTCCCCCCCCTTTTCTTTGTTCCAGACAGGGAAAGACCAATAGTTACACCTTAGATGGCTGCTTATCTTGTGAATTTTTTAATCATCTGTAGATTTTTATATAGATTTTTGGAAGTAGGAGTGGCATCCACTTCCTAAATAACATGCCCCTGGAAACTATATGAATTTTGATAAATGTCGATAGTTGTAGAGGAGCTTCAGGCCTTTTGTTCATAGGGTCGGTATGAGTCGTGATCGACTCGAAGGCAATCAACAATAGATTTTGAAGTGCCGTCTCACTTCAGGTATGTTGCTAAGAGGGACCAGTCCTCAGAGAAGAATATCATGCTTGGAAGGGTTGAGGGACAGCAGAAGAGGGGAAGACCTGGATGAGATGGATTGACATAGTGTGTCGGAGTCAGTGAGACTGGCTCAGGATAGGATAGGGTTCAGAGCTACTGTACTCAGGCAACTTGATGACACATAACAACAAAAGCATATATATGTTAAATTTTTGTTTATTTCTGTAATTAGTTTCATTTACATTATATTTTGTTCATGTATATTGTGGAGGTTTTCCCCCTTTCATTCATTCATTTTACTTAATAACTGTATTTGTGAAAGCATGTCAGCCAGTGACTTCATGCGTCATCCTTGAATATCCACCCCTATTTTGCTGCTGCTGCTGCTGTTGATTGCCTTTGAATCAAGCACCACTAATAGCAGCTCTTTGAACAAAAGGCCTGTACCCTTTCTATAACTGTCGTCATTTGTCAAAGTTCATAGAGTTTCCAGAGGCATGTTTTTTAGGAAGTGGATGCCAATCCTGCTTCCATCCCTCTTTTAGATAGTCCATTTCTGGTTTGCCCTTCCCTATCAAACCAGGACTCTAGGGGAACAAACATGTCCCTTTTTTTTTTTTTTTTTTTTAACATGTCCCTTTTTGCTGAAGAATCCTCTGTCAACTTGGAAACTTTGAGCATCTGCATCCATAAGCAAAGTCCAGTCCGGAGCAAGCTGTCAGGTTCGACCCTGGCTCACAGCATGGATTGTCCTCTCTTCAGCTGGTTGGGTTCTGGTCACCTCATCCTCAGCCTTCTGTGTCCAGGCTCAAGTGGGCATCAGCTGGAAGCGCAGGAGTCCACAGTTCTCCTGGAGATCCAGGCCTGTCGGTCTTCTCACTCAGCTCCAGCCCCCACATGGGGCCCTGCCAACAAGCCAGGGTCCTCTTGACACCCTGCTCTTCAAGCCAGCAAGATTTCCCTGCATTCCGTCTATTTCTCCGTTGTTGTGTTCCTCCCACTTCCACTTCGTTGGATCCAGGTGATTGCTCTGAGTGAACCTAACTCCAGCCTCGAGGTTGTTTTTTTCCTTTTTTCTTTCTTGTGTACCATCGAATCTGATCTGATAGGCACAGGAGGAGATTGCCCCTCCTTCTCCAGCAGAGAATCTGGTGGATTCAAAACAAGTGCCTTTGAGATTGCAGCACAGCTTCTTGTCACTAGGCCACCAGAGCTCCCCAACCTCGAGTCTCAGAGATTGGCACCTGCCTCAGAAGCCACATAATTTGTCCCAGTTTTGAAAAGTCAGTCTCTTCCTTTCCTTTATTCTTTTTAATTCTCTCCTTGCCTTTCTTTCAAAAGCATATCTCTTCTTGGATCAGAGTTACAGTGTGGACCGACCAATCCATTCACGCATAAATCTCCTCAGAGTACTGGGTGGGACTCAGGATTCCCTCTCAGCTAAACCCTAACCACCTCTACCAGGTTCTCCTTTGGAAAAGCCTGCCTCCTGGGCAGATTTTGAGCAGATTTTCCCTTTTAGTACTTCAAATCCAGTACTGGCTGAAGGTGGAATTACATGGTGGTGTGTGTGTGTGTGTGTGTGTGTGTGTGTGTGTGTGTGTGTAATATGCAAGCTAAATAAGTCAATAAGTCAAATTTGCCAAAAGACAAATAATGTGTGATCTCACTTATATGATCTCAGTTAATGTATAGAAGGCAGAGATTATTCATGGTTCCCAGGGGTGTGGGGGAGAGGAAAGGGGAGTTGTTAGGGTTACTGGTGATGTTAAGTGTTGCTTGGAACCCTCACTGTGAATTAGCTCAGTTAATTCTCGTAACAGCCCAGGGAGATGAGTCTTTTTCTTTCCCCATTTACATATGGGGAGATTGAGGCTCAAATAGATTGAGACTTGTCCAAGGTCACATAGTGAGTGAGTTATCAGGGCCAGGTTTAAACCTGGGAGGCCAAAGTCTTAGCTGAGTTAGAGGCCAGCAGCAGAAAGAGCCAGGGGCCGAGCTGGGATCTGTGGACAGGATGGTTTGTCTGCCAGGGACTTTTATCCCCTCAGCTCCACCCAGTGCTATGACACTCTCTCTGCTATTGTTTCCAGGAGCTGGAGAAGCTGGGCCTCGGTGACAGTGTGGACCTGCATGTGTACGAGATTCCTGTTGAATACAAGACAGTCCAGAGGCTCATCCCTGCCCTCTGGGAGAAGCACAGTCCACAGGTGAGTGACAAGCCTTTCCTCCTCAGGACTTGGAGACAGGGCCCATTTGTGATAGTTTGTATGGTTTTCTTCCTGACCTGGCCAGTGACATGACCTTGTCTTCCAGAAAGATCATGCTGTTAGAGGTGAGGAAAACAAATTCCTGGGCCTTCACGGAGTCTGACTATGTCTCATTGGAATTCCATATTAGTCAGGAAATGTCAGTGACAAATTCAGCTTCAGTTATGACTTGATCCAGATGTTCACCCAGCATAATCAGTATTTTCTCTCTTGTCTGTCATCACCAACTCAGCTTCAGGTATGGTTTGATCCAGGTACTCACCCAGCATTATCAGTCTTTTCTCGCCTTTCATATACCTCCATCTCTCCAAAGACGTTTTTCTCAATTAAGATCACATTCACAGATTCCAGAGGTTCAGACATAGAAATCTTTTTTGAGGGACACCATTCAGCCCACTCTACCAGAACCATTACTTTGTTTAGACATTTCACCAGAATTTAGCTTAATTCAATTCTGTGCCATTATGTACCAAACACAGTGCCAGATCTAGGGCCAAGCAGTGAGTTCTCTCTTTCCAGAGATGGGTCCTTGAACATCTGTGGCCCAAAGCCTAAATGAGCCACACCCAGCATTTTCATTTTCCAGTGGTCACATGGGTACTGTAGGCTATACCGAGTTGTGCTGCTGTAGCCTGAAGCATGTCTCCAGCAGTTCAAATCCACCAGCGGCTCCGGGGGGGAAGAATGGATAATCTCCTCCTGTTGCAGTTTATAGCCTCAGAAACTTGACGGAGGGTGAGCATGAGGCAGAACCAACCCAGCAGGGAGTTGAGTTGAGTACTCACGTCCCTTAGTTGCCTGGGACAGTTCTGATAAAATACCGTCAAGTGCCTAGCATATCAGAACAAAATTGGATGTCTCACAGTTCTAAAGGCTGGAAGTCCAAGGTCAGGTCAGCCATGTTGATTTCTTCTGAGATTCTGAGAAAGATACTGTCCGTTGCCTTTCCCGTAGCATTTGGAGACTCCCAGCTGTCTGGCGCGTGGCTCCAGCCCACACGGTGTTCTTTCTCTGCCTCCCAGTCTGTGTCTCTTCTCTTCTTGTGTTTAGGCTCCACTTATGTAGAATTAGTTCTGGTGGCCTAGTGGTAAGAAGCTGTGCTGCAATCCCAAAGGCACACTGTTTGAATCCACCAGCTGCCCTGTGGGAGAGGGACTGGCAGTCACCTCCTGTGCAATTAATTGCCTCTGAAAACCCACTGGCGGGTCAGCTATGAATTGGTTCTGAGTCAACAGCACACAACAACAATAATACGTAGAATTAGGGCTCTGCCTACTCTGTTATTATCATACACTAACTTAACTGTTTCCAAGCGAGGTCATGTTCTTGGGATTTGGTGGGACTGTAACATAAATTTTGAAGGGAGACTCAGCTCACTCTGTAATTGCACATTTGATTAAAAAACCAACATATTAAATTAAATACTAAAATTAATTTTAACTATATTTAATATATCTAGTGTCATTCATAGGACAGCTATCTGGAACAAGAGGTGCATTGCAAAGCGAACTGGGGGAGGGGGAAGGGAGGAAATTGTGCAGCAATGGATGAATTAACAACTTAAAAAATGATAAAAAAATATCATTTCAACATGCATGAAATATAAAAAGTTAATAATGCAGTAGTTTCTATTTTTTGCTTGGAAATTCAGTGGGTTTTTCACATCTTAGTCTGGAGCAGCCACGTATCCACTGCTTAGTAGGCACATCTGTGTTCCTCTGCTGTTCCGAGGATTTTCAGAGGCCTGGTGTGGATGGCCTCTGAAGAAGTGGATGGCCAAGCCTGTATTCTAGTCTCTGTTAATCTGGGAGCTCTACTGAAACCTGTGCACCATGGGGAACCCTTGTGGCATTTGATACAGCAGTGGCAGACCTTCAGTATCACAGCAGTTCACAAGTTATTGGCACGGTGACTGCCACAGCGGGCTCTGGTGTGTCAGGAAGTGTGAGGATGGCACAGGTAGGACAGGGTTCAGATCTGTTACTCATGGAGTTGCTATGGGTCATACTTGACTCGGCGGCACCTGAAAACAGAAAGAAGGCTCCTGTAGAGCTCTGGTGGTCTAGTGGGTGGGAAGTTATGCTGCCAGCCGGAAGGTAGGCAGCTTGAATCCACCAGATGCTCCAGGAAGACATACGGGCATCCACCTCTGCCATGAACAACCTTTGAAAACCTCCTGCACGGTCAGCCGTGAGTCGGTTCCAACTTGTTATCAGTTCTGAGGAGGTGCGTGTGGCTAGTGGCCGCCGTGTGGGACAGCCTGAATTTTAGTGTGTGTTTTCCATCTCCATCTGTTTTCTTACCGTGGTATAAACCTTGTCATTGTTGGGTGCTGTCGGGGGGACTGCAGCTCTGTGAACAGCAGACTAGAACTTTCCTGTGTCTGCACCGTCCTCACTTCTCGGTCGTGCTCAAGCCCATTGCTGTAGTCACTGTGTCGGGCATAACCTGAACCCGAATCTAGACTGTGTACACATTTATATTTCATTATGACATTTCCCTTCCCATTAAAAATTCTCCCTACAAAAAATTAATTAATTAATTCTCCCTACACACCATTAGGTATTTTTTTTTTTTAGGAATTTCTTAATTTTGGTAATTAATTTAGCCTTTCCTTTGTTGGATATTTTAGTGTCCTTGGTTTTTCTCACTTTTTTTGTTATTAATTTTAATGAAAATTTACAGAGGCTTTGGATTTCCATTCATTCATTGTTGAACTTTTCTCCCTGCCCACCCCTCCCCCCCCCCAGTTCACTCTTCTCTTTGAAAAGTAAAAGTTCTTTCATTGTTATACAGTCCCTTCCCCCAGGTCCACTCCCTATGCAGCCTTCGTTCTGGACTCCTGTCGTGAAAATAATACCTTGTTACATATCCCTCTTAAACTGTTTTCTCCCTCATCTGTTTCAATGCAGTATACACTATTGAACCCATCTTTCTCAGTCTCCCCCCAATGTCAGTCCTGTTTTGCAACAGTGGCACCATGTAGTATTTGTCCTTTTGTGACTGAGATATTTCACTCAGCATAATGTCTTCCAGGGTCACCCATTTTGAATATTTCATGAGTTCTTTGTTTTTCAGTGCAGCATAGTATTCCATTGTGTGAATATACCAGAGCTTCTCTAGCCATTCGTTTGTTGATGGGCACTTAGGTTGTTTCCAACTCCTTGCTATTATGAACAAAGCCGTGATAAACATGGGTGTGCATGGTTTTTCTCACTTTTATAAATAAAACAAGTGTCTGGACCTTTTGACTGAGACCAGGTGCGACATGTGTTCTTAGGTATAAATGACCCAAAACAACCATCTTCTCCGTCAGGTTATTTATAGGCTGGATTCCTAGACATTAGACTTGGCCCATTATATTTGACAATATGACCTGAACATCATTCCATGTAGAGCAGCTTGGGCATTTTAACAGGTGCATATAGTCATTTAGAATGTGTTTTGCCACCCTTATAAGGGCAGCTGAGTGGATTGTTTCTGGTGTTGGATTATAAAAGCAAGCAGTTGCAATGAACATTCTTGCATGTTTTGAATTCTTGCATATTTTGCTTGGCAAACTATTCTGCAGGAGTGACTGTGGGTTCTAGACTGGCAGCAAGAGAAACAGTGTGATTCCTGCCGAACCCAGCCAGAACGCTGCCCTCTCGCTGGCCCAGGGGCACCCTGTGCCAGGTGGCCATGTTAAGCTAACCCTAACCCTCTGTCTGCAGCTGGTGGTACACGTAGGAGTATCGGGCATGGCAACCACAGTCACACTAGAGAAGTGTGGGCACAACAAGGGCTACAAGGGCCTGGACAATTGTCGCTTTTGCCCTGGCTCCCAGTGCTGTGTGGAAGACGGGCCCGAGTGCATCAACTCCATCATCGACATGGACGCTGTGTGCAAGAGAGTCACCACTCTGGGTCTGGACGTCTCGGTGACCATCTCACAGGATGCTGGCAGGTAGGGCTGCGGGGCCCTGTGGGGTGGGCACGAGCATTCATTAGTCTTCTCTGCCAGCCAGACCTGGTATCCACTGAGCCGTGTGTGTGAACTTTGGCCTCTGAGCCAACCATTCAGTATATATAAGGTCGAGCCAAGTGCATATGCAGGTGGTTGTTGTTGTTAAGTGCCGTCAAGTCACTTGCGATTCATAGCGACCCTATGTACAGTAGTCCTAAACTCTGCTCTGTCCTGTGCCAATCGCACTGTCTCTGATACACCCATCCCGATTACCCCCGTCACTGAATCAGTCCACCTCATAGAGGGACTTCCCCTCCTGCGCTGTCCCTCCATCCTCCCGAGCATGATGTCCTTCTCCAAGGACCCGTCCCACCTTACAACACGTCCAAAGTATGTCATATGAAGCCTCAGAATCCTTGCCTCCAAGGAGCCGCCCGGTTTAACTCTCTCCAGGATGAAACTGTTTGTTTTCTTAGCAGTCCATGATACCCTCAATACTCTTCACAGCACCACAGCTCAAAGGCATCAATTCTCCTTCTATCCTTCTTAGTCATTGTCCAAGTCTCTGATGCATAACAAGTTATTGCAAAGACCATGGCCTGTATCAAACGCACCTT